CACTGGGTATTCGAATGCGGACCTCTTTCGAAATATACGAGAATACGGAACGAAAAAGGTAGTGAAAGGTAAAATAACAGAAATAAAAAAGTAGAACAAACATAGGCATTGTAGTAGTTTTAAGCAATACGAGGTAGACTGCGAAGAAAAGGGAACCTCAGAGGATGGACAAAAAAAGAAAAAGGGTTGAAGATACATTTCGTGGTTGCAAATCGTGGAAGGTGGATTGTAAGTATGAAATTCAGAAACCAACAGCAGTAAACTCATGTCCGTGGATTCTTCTCCTTCCCGCGTGTAGGGAAAACGGGCTCACAGGTCACAAGAAAACCACTTTTTTCATGCCAAAAGTGCCTGGAAACGGTGCTGGAGTGATGCTCGGATGCCGTCTCCATACTCCGCCCGCGCTGCCGACGCCTAACCATAGCCAAACGCGTCACCTGCTGCGCTCTCTCACTTCTTTTGTTCTCTACCGCTGTAAGGGTTACGCTGCGGAACCATGGCATCGACGCAAGCACTGGACCCTAAGGATAACGCGGGCTGCCTCATTCAATTCAGTTTTCAGTGGACAAAGTGCCACGGCACCCATTCATCCCGCACACAGGCAAGCACCGTCCTCGATGATGAGTTTACAGTTTGTCTTTTTGGGATAAATTGAACTCACCTTAACGATTTCTTGAGTCTTTTCCGAGCGAACATCGTCAGAACCATCACCACCTCCGCTTGAAGCTGATGGCTCAACATTCTGTTCCGGATTATCACCCATGTTCCTCTAAACACACCAGAGCAGAGCTCAAGCTCACTACAGTCATTACCAGTTAGATATCGGCAAAGATACCGTTGGAAATGCTAACAACTTCACGAAAAAGACCAACGCTTCATCGACTAGATAAAACCAAAAAGCGCAATAAATATGTGAAAAAAAATCCTGCAAACGATGCTCATATGATAGCAACATCGAAAAAATAAAGGGCAATTCGGCTTGGTGGGGGCATCGAAAGATAAACAGAGAAGCTTGTACAAATTACCTTGTGAAGACCTGTACATTCCTTGGCATCAAAACGGCTTCACAAGAGTTTACAGGTTTCGTCAAGATTAAACCTGTTGATCGACATGAAGTGGTGAAAGGAAATAAAGAAAATGTAAGTTGATCCTCCCAAGCCGAACAGCGCCAAAAATTCGTACACATCACCATCGCAAACCAAAGCTAACAAATCAACTATCCAAATTAGTGCCACAAAAACCTCGCACAACCTAATGTTCAAGAGAAAAATACGCGAACATCGCTGTGCGCGCGTAAAATCAATACTTTTGCCAATAAATAGTTAATGAAGCGGACTGTTTGATGAAAGCTCGCGCTGCGTAGTACACGATACTAAGCACAACAATCAGTACACCGGGGATTTTACAAAACAAATTATTAACGAATCTACAAGAGGTGCATGAAATTGAGCTATTTTCGATGAAAACTTTTAACTATGACGAAAAAAGCGGGGCGACTCGCTGGTCGAGGGAACGTTTGTGGCGCGTAGCGTGCTGCTCGGACCCTAACCTACTTTATTACTTACTTAGTGTGTCTGCAATTGAAAAATAACAACGTAAAATAAAACCCGAGATCCAATAGTACAGATGTACGGAATGCACATATTCACTACAAATACTCGAAACAATTTGAGGCTGGAATTTCAAAAAAAATAGGGCGCGATTCGGATTGGTGAGAGCACCAAATGGTACTTCCACTTCAGGCCATCTCCTAGGAACCTGCCAATTTCTACAGCCAAAGTGGCTCACTTATACCATTTCGCTGTTTCCATAGGACTTCACAGGTCTCACCAAAGTGTAACCTGTTAGTTAATATGAAGTTGCGAAAAGAACAGGCAGGAGCGCAAAATGCCCCCTATGGCCCTCCCAAGCCGACCATCGCCAAAAACGACAATAACTAAGGCCCCAACTTCGTGAAATAGAAATAATTTACTAATACTGCTGCATGAATTAAGCTCTAACAGTAGGAGGAATCCGTTGATAAAGAGTATAATTTGCGAATGTTGTTTTTTCAGAAGAAATTCGTGGAATATAGAAGGCACGGTAGAACCAATGAGACTCCGATGATATCAAAAATGGATGCGAATACAAACGTCGGAAAACGTCGGTCTGAAAAGGGATACTTGGCAGTAAGCAAATATAAAAAATTTCAAAATAAGCGGCAGTAGTACGAAAATAAACAAACCATAGCTCCATAGTTGGGTTCATTAGCAGTAGTACGATTAGGAGTTTCTAGATCAACCACGTAATCGCAAGTATCCAGTGGAAACGTACCTAAATCTTCCAAGCTTACATTTGGAAATGATCATTGGTCCCATGTATCATGGTAACAATAAGAAGAATGCAATGAAAAAGCACTAGGTGCTGACGAATCCACTTTTGGAATGCACCATGCAGGCGCTGTTTTGCTTGGAGAGGGCCTGCGCAATCGCTGATTTCTTTTCAGGGCACACCACCGCTGTGATGATCACAACGGGGATAGTATTTGACCGCGAGGGAAGGGGTCGTATACGGCTACGAAAAATTTCTTTTATTAGTTGATTTCTCCCGTTTCACAGACGCTATAAAGGGGGAGGGGTCGCATTCGGTCGTTGTTGGGAGAGGGACTGCTAAAGATGTATGCAACTAATGTTTCCGAATATTTGAATAGTCGAATCCTGACGCCCCCCCGCTCGACGGAAAATTCCTGGCTGAAAAACTGGAATTTTTTTCGGGAAAATGGAAAAAGTGGTAGGAAGTTGGAAATCTAGGAAAGTGGTAGGTAGCATGGGGAGGGGGTCGTATTTGAGGATGGAATTAGGGAGGGGGTCGTATTTTTCAGGAAATGATCACAACGCGATGGCGATGGCGTGCCCGTGTTCTTTTGTAAATTCATAGCGTTCATGATTCATCATTATACTGGCCATACGGGGCCGCAACCATGCTCCACACCAGTGAGCCTGTAAAATGGAGGGCGAGTGAGCCATGCATTGGTCCTCAGGAAAGTCACAGTCTTTTGCAAGAATGGCTCGCAAAACTTATCTCACTATCAACAGATGCCCCCTCCAAGCGGAATTCCGCACACCATGCATTCTACCTCAAATCAGGGTCATAACAGCATTGACGCTGCTTATGTGATGCTGCATACTATGCACGGTCCAATGGTCGAGTCCCCAGTCGGCTTCTGCCCACCCAGCCATAGCTTTCATCCCTCCAGGACCCGAAAAAGGTCTCAAACCCGTCTGTACCTAACAACACCGCTCTTATGCACATCCTACCCTGCAAAGTATTACAGGGGCCACACAGCGTCCAGATACCAAATGCACTTTCTAGATGAGAGCAGAATGCGTGGCGCATCTCGGGAAATGTCTGAACTACGCCAAAGGCTCAACCTGTTAACTAAAGAGAAGGTCACGAACCATGGAATTTCTAATCACATAAAAGTGAAAGTAGTATTTCGGTTCCATCACTGTTTGTTTTCAAAATAAACAGGTCCAGTACTTTGAAATATTGTTTTCGGAAAAAGTGGAAAGAAAACTATAAATTTCAAGAAACTGGGTCAAACCTGGACGGCTCTTCTTGGTTCATATCATTCATTTCAGTGGGAATACGTCGTGTAATGAACGGCAGTCGGCCTTGCGGATAATACTTTGGAAGAAGGCCGGCGAACTCGCTTTTCAAGAAATGGAGATGTACTCCTGAAACAAGCACACTATCCACGATACTGTTAACAAAATGACCAGGTGCTGCATGCAAGGAGACGTCAAGACAATCGTAGTTTGCCTATCCGTCACAAGCGGCGATGGTCGCGGCTTTTCTCAAATCGCACTAGCCTGTTGATTGGAACAACTTCATGCTGACTGTGACATCAAAGATATTTAAGGCTTTTGGTTATACATTCTCCATTGCCGCCATCTACTACTTAGAAACATCGCCATCTGCGGGTACGACGCCGCACGCGATGACCACCAGCGCGGCGAATTACGATTGTCTTGGCACACATCCTTGCATGAAGAGGTATGCTAACACACCGCGTTTCCGTGAGCGCTGATCAACGGCCATTTCGGGGAGGAAAAATGATGAAGGAAATCTGTGCCACTCCTTCCCTACACACACGCGTAATGGATCCTGAATAAAAGATACCGGGCAGAAGGTGAGTAAAAACTCAAATGAAAAAATGATTACGTACCCCTCGTTTCGAAAAATCAAGTTCTTGTTGATGGTCCATGAAGTGTTCATTCAAACTTTTATAAACCTGGATAAAGATGAGCTTGATACTGTGACCCTTCGCAACTGCATGTCAAACTTACCTCGATATGAGCGCTGAAGTTTCTGTGAAGTGCATAAGTCCTCGACATTGACGCGAGGATGAAACACAGTACTACCACCCAGGAAAGTATGGAAAATGAAGGAAAAAGGCGGGATACCAATCTAGAAAGACATTTTTTCAAAACTCTAAGAGTTCGCAAGATCACTTCAACATAACTGTACCTTTCAGCGGAATCCAAAGATATCGCAGCGAATAGAGCTATTAACGGATAAATTGGGAAAAGGAATCTCTCCTCTTTATGGGGTTGGTTGAAGAAAATCATACACCACACCGAAAGCGATGCGAATAGCAGAAAAAGAGATGAATAATGTCGCCAGTATGAAGGATGAACTGCTGAAATGGATGAAGACATTATCTTGCAGCCCTGTAAGTATACCTACGCTGCACGTTCAGAGACAAAAATCCATTGAAACTTCGCCCAGATACCACCGTAATAACAAAACTCCGGTCAAGTACACGCTCGTAAGAAAAATTCTACCACAACTTTGCGCGATTTTCAAAAAAGATAGTCTGCAATCTTTTGTGAAGCGATTTTTCGCATTCTTGCATGAAGTGCCCACCACACTACACCCTGCATGCAGCAGACCTCATCTGACGCACGCCTCAGATAGCCACGCCCCATTTTTGCTGCGAAAACAATTCTACACTTATATTACACACACATTATACACTACAATTTCCACTTCTGTCGAACGGACTTTCATAAAATGAAACACTTC